AATTACTATCTGTAATTTACAGGTATGCTTTTTTTTAAAAATTCTTTGAGATATTTAATTAAATCATAATATTGTGCCCAATGGAATATAAGAATAAATCAATTAATTCCAGTAAGTAGGAATTTACTGAAGTGATAGAACTTTAACTGCCCTCTTTTGGATGTGTTTGTAATATAATGAAAAATAGCATTATATTATGAAAGGGACTCATTCAGACAAAATGGGAGTATTGAAATGAATTAGCCTTAGGTGTTATCCTTAACAGACCTGCTACCAGAGTGGTTGAGAATGGTAGGATTGGAAGAAAGTGCCCCTGTGTTGGGTGGTGGTTGTTTGTAGTATTTAACTAAAATTCTTGAGTAAAGTTGACTGAACTGGACAATCCTGTGTCCTTTATTATGGTCAAGCCTGAAGTAATGGCCATTTAAAGGAAATTTTATTCTGGACCTTTGCTGCTGACATTTGGGAGTGTAGTGCTCTCTGAAATCCTAGAAAACAAATAGAAATCTGATTGAGGGCCTTTTTGGCACCTCATCCGCTGCGGGAAATAAAAACCAAAAAGGCTTACAAAGATTTTTTTAACAGGATTTCCAGTTATGCAGTTTTCTTACTCTCTTTTATGAAATTTCCATTAGCACCTGTACTCAGGATTCTAATTGTTTTCCAGTCCTATTTGTACTGTGTAATTAAACTGACAGACTATACAAAGTGATATTTAAAGCTGTCAGCAAATCATTCTGAGTCCATAAAGTCAACACTGCCTATATCCTGGTAGAGTTGCAGTGGGGAGGTAACTCAGCTATCTATTGTTTAATTTTTCGGTATCTCACAAGTGAAATGTGTGCCAGTTATGTAGTCCTTCATCAGCTGTTGCTCTTGGCCACTGTCCCCCATGAAGCGAGATGAGGTACTGTGCCTTGGCAATTTCTCTTGAGATTGCTGGGCAGACTCCAACAAAGTGTGGGGTGCTCAGCACGCCACATGTTCCTCCCTGCTTAGAGTCGCTGGGGCTACATTTCTCACAGGAGATGGAGATGTCATTTAAAAATACCAGAGGATCAAAGAATTTGCTCAAGTTAAGAAATTAATATATCTTGTTGAGACTGGAGGCAGGACTTTTTTGATCTTCTTACTTCCTCCAGTTGGTTGAAGGCTTAGTCAGCATCATGGCAAGTTTCTGTCCTTTATCACATGACGTTTCAGGTCTGGCGTAGCCACATGGCAGAAAGTGCAGATAGATAGACCAGCTTACAAAATCCAGTGTGCCTTTCAGTGTCATCTGTGAATACTCAGATATACTTTACTTTTTATGATAATTTTATCTCAGAAAATGGATTTTCTTCACCAGTGCCTTGCAGGCCTTCCCTTTAGAGCAAAGTAAAATTTGAAATAAACATTAAGATTGTTTAACTTTGCGCAGTGCCCCTTGACTTCAGTTAAGTACATGCCAAAGACACTTGTTTCAAGATTAAGCTCTGTGAGCTCCACCAGTTGGGATTTTAGTGATTACAACCCTCCAGCTGTATTGAAATGCAAGTTGAAAATTCCTTCAGTCACTCCGTGCTTGTTTTCTTAGTTTTTTGCAGTGTGGTTGTGACCGCACAGCTCATTTATTCCACAACAGCAATGAGGCAGAAGCACACGGCTGTTGCCACCAGCCCCTCCTTACAGATCTCTGCTTCTCTGAAGGGTAGATCCGATCAAGGATCTTCTAAATGAGATGACATACATAAAGTGGTCATTTACTTAAATCTATGAGGTCGGTCCTTCATCCTCCCTCATGAAATATTAGAAAAGAAGGAGTGAATGAGATTTTGTGATTCTGATACTCTCTCTTTTTTTCTCTCTTTACTTATACACATTTTAATCTGGGCTTGAAAAAACCCTCACAAATGCAAAGCAGCAAGGATTTTCATATGCTTTTCTTCAGGCTCTGGTTGGAAGGGTTATAAGTAGTTAAGCTGGCTTTTTTTGCCATGAATTCCAAATTGCTTGTTAAACCCTTATTCTTCAGCTACTGACCTTTGCATCAGTGACATTGCATGTGTAACAGTAACAAGCAATGAATAAAGACGACAACTCTCTATTTTTAGGAGAGGAAAGTTGCCAAGCTTTGGATAATTTAGACATCTCATGCATTTTTTCATAGAAATTATTAGTAACTTTTCTTCTGCAGAACACACAACAAATTCAAAACTTCTGCTTATAAAAGTGCTCTGATTTGATGTGTATTCAAATCTCATGGATTTGTATCAATGTCAAAAATGTTTTTTTTTCCAATGATGGATATAGGACTTGCACCCCACAATACAATGAAAGAAAGAATAAAACTAGTCTGTAACAGAACAAGTAGAAGCAAAGCAAAATCCTTAATGGATCTTCCAGTGAATACTCTGCTTGAATATATAATGACTTGGTCCTTATATTAGATTGTAGATGTCACTACCGGGTATAAGTATGTTTTATTGTTTGCGTATTCATTCTTAAATCCACTTTTCCTACTGAGTGGTTTCACTCCTACAAGCTCTTTGGGTCAAGAATAAGCATGACTTAGACCAGAGAATAAAGGACATGTCAGGGAAAAAGTAAGAGCTTCCAAAGGAGAGCAGGATGAGCACAGTCCTGGCTGCCCTTAGAGTATGCTCAAACAGGGCCTTTGTGATGGTGCCATGGCTGAATGTCCTCATCTTTTTTGCTGTGTCTCCGAACCTGGCTGAGGTGGCAATACAGAAAGACTGCTCATGGAAAAATCGGTCTTTTGGTGGCCGGGATCTGTAATTGCTCCTCTAGACCCGTTACCATCCGTCTTCAAATAAGCTGGGCTCTGTCCCAAACAAACCAGGATTTAACTATTAAGCAGATGGACAAAATCTCCTTTAATATTAAAGTGGGGATGCCGAGATAGTGGGGACCTAAGTCCACACAGCTGTAGATAGTGAAATAAAGAGTTCACTCATACTAGTGAGGCTAACAGCCTCATTCTTTTTACCTTCAGATTCAAACAGGCTACATTTTATTAAGCTGACTCAAGTTGTGTGTTCAAGTTTTCCTTTGTGGCCATGAAGGGTTGGAGTGCTTTATTTTTTAATGAAAAATTTGATTATGAAATCGTCACAAGACCAGGATCTGGATAAGTCTTGGATATCTACCCGTTTTGTCTCTGCCATAACATAGCCCTGTACTGAAACCTTTTGAGTTACCAAGTAGGAAACAGTGCATGTCCTAATTTAAGTCTGTTGCAGAATTCATAAAGAGCGTCCAGCTGGGAAGAACAGAACGGAAGCCCCTTCCTTCTTGTCTTTCACTTTCTGTTCGTAACATGTTTCTTTCTCATTTAAAACAAACAAACAAACAAAACACAAAAAACCCCAAACACTACCCCCCAAAAAAAACAACAGAATATTAAATCTTTAGGGGTTGCCGTGGGTGTTGCTGTCAGGGAGCTACCAGGAAAAGTTTTGCCATGTGCATTGTGTAGCTTCTTTTATGTTGATGGCTATGTTTCTATCAGTTGTTTATTTAAGAGGAAAATATCTCTCGGTTTTGGTACTGTGTGCCAGTTTTCTATAAAAGCTGCTAATGAAAAGGACTCATAAATGTCCCAAAAAGGAGATAAAAACAACACTCATTTTCTTTTGCTATTTAAAATGTTCCTGAGCCTGAAGCGTATTTCTCTAAGGCCAATGGAAGTAGAAAAATGTAAATGTTGTACAAAAAGAGGATCAGAACCATAAACTGTCCATGCCTGGTCTTATTAGGACATTATTCAATGTAATTTATTGTAGGACATGTGGAGTACTTGTTTAAACTTGTGAAAGCCTGACCATTTGAAAAGCAGACAGAGCGCTGGAAAACACGTGGCCAGACCTGGCCCAAACCCACCCAGCTAATCAGCATCAAAGCTTTTGTACTTGCATCATGCTCAATGACTTCAGGGCTTCTTAAGCAAACCAGTGCTCAAACTATGGAAGCAGCAAGTAAGGGTTTGTTTACAACCCTGAATACTGGTTTAACTAACTCATTTAGATCCATTTAGATTACCAGTACCACTGAAAGGTCTGTTGTCTACTGAATTGGACATGTGTAAATCAATATGATAACAACTGTGGAGTGAAAGGGGTGCCCAGATGGACACTAGGGGCTTTGAAAATGAAACAAAGCTCTTTCCTTTTCTTGAACTGTGTGAATGTTGGCCCTTTCCCTCACTGCTTGACTCCAGCTTTTCTCCAGCAGGTCTGAATGATCCAGGAAGCCAGTCTGGATCTTTCCAGAGAGCCCTGTGTGGGCACTCCAGGCAAAAAGAGGAAATATTTGGGTCTGTAGATTTCCAACCCTGGCCTGTGTCCAGTAACAAAGATGTGCCCCAGGCCTAGTGTAGTGCTTGTGTTGTTGACTCCATCTGTTCCAAATGGTGACTGATGGGGAGAAAAATGGCCTTAGATGGATAACTATTGTAAGCCTTAGCACATGCTGCTACAATGCTGAAAACATTGGAAACTATAAAATCAGCCATCCTCTCACCTGTGCATTGTATTTATGTACACAGAGATGTAATGCTTAAATTAATGAACAAATTACTTAAAACACAAAGCAGGATTGTCAGGAAGGAATATCATAAATTTCAACATGACTTGTATGAGAGTGACAAAGTGGTTTGCATCTCTTTGTGTAATGTGCAATTCATCGTTTGGAATAAAATGAATAGGGGTTAATGGCATCCTTTTTCCCCTTTAATGCAAGTTGGAGAGAAATGAGATTGTGGAATGGGTGACCTTGTGTTAAACAGATTGGCACTTACTGGATACAACCAGGACATTTATGAGCCCATCTCTGACAATGTGAAATATTTTCTTTCAGATACACTGTTGAAAAAATTACTCAGAAAGGAATTATGTCATTTGTTTTATGTTACTGCATTTTTAATATAAATAATCTAGGCTGGAAAAAAAGGTATGAGAGACTTCTATATAGCTCTTCTGAAACTGTTTTGTTTATTCTAGATTTAATTGTAGGTGCATTTGGAGCTGGAAAAGCAGTTGTGTACAGGTACGTGGTAAATACAATGAATTTTTTATTTTACAGCTGTGGTGGGAGATCTGCAAATAAACAAATTTCACATTCTTGTGTTTCCCTGGTACAATGTGTAGAAGATACTCATTACAGGTGATAAATTAAGCATCTTGTGAGAAACAAATGCTTTTTTTCCATGCTCAAAACTTGTCATTTTCAATGAAAATTTCCATGCTTAGTCTTAGCTCAAGAACCTTCTTCTGGAATATTTGACTCCTCAGTTAATTTTAAATAAAACAAGAAGAGAAAATCTTATCTTTTCTACCTTTAAAGCTATGTCACACACGTTCCTATACAGTCAAAAAGTTCTTGCCACAGCTCATCAGAGAGAAATTCAAAAAGCATAACACTGAAATTCAATTTATTTCCTGGGGGAATGGTACTAGTAAGAAATTTTCAAGTGACTCTGATTCTTCAGAGCTCGTGTACATTCAGAAGTGAACTATTTATTGAAAATAAAGACTGCTGCTATTAGCTTCAGTTTAGAAAAAATGTATGAGATCCCATTTTACAAATCAAAAGTTGTTGCTGACTATGGATTTTGACTAAATGCACTGTTTGTTTAGAGGTATAAAGTAAAACTACCAAATAACCTAAACAAAAATCTGCTGCTGCCCTCTTAGTCCAGTCATGCCGATAGTTCTTTGCATTCAAATATTCACCATCTGTTGCTGCAACAATGTGGTCATATTTCTTGATTCCCCTCTGACTTATTGTTTGTATCCCCATCAGTACCTGACTGAGGGAAGGCATATTCTGCTTCCCAACTGAATGTTTGTCAAAGCATAAGAATTTTGTAACAGGAACGTTAGCTCATTTTAGCTAACACTGCAGGTGCAGTGAGTAGACCTGATTTTCCTACTGCCCTATTTAAGAATCATGTGAATAATTTGGAATGCACCATTTTGCAGTGGTATGAGTGACTGCAAGGATGTGAAATATTGGAGAATTAGATCCAGTGTGTATTTTAGATGATAGCAATAAAACATGTGTTCTATTTAATTCTATTTAATTAAGTGAATAGCAGGAGACCCTGAATCTTTCCAGTTCCTGGCCAGAGTGTATCAAATATGCAACTTGTCATATTGGAGAAAAAAAATTGTATTAACTGAAATTTGCTAGAAAAAAGGTTTTCCCTGTTGCACAAAAATGAAGAAAGTAATGTTATTTTTTAATCTCTTGCTGAAGTAATACAGAGCGGTAATCATAAAAGCTTAGCTGTGGATTAAAATATGAGGGAAGTAATTTTGTAATAAGATGGTTTTGCCAGAATTATATAAGTTACTGTAAAATAGTACTACTGTCTTAAAAAAACCCAGAATTTAGACCCTTTCTTGTTTTCATTTCTCTTCTAAATTGCTCTCAGTTACAGATTATCTCATTACGTAATAAGAGATTGTTATTCAGAAGGATGGTTCCCATCACCACAACTATATATTCACATACTCAGCAGAATTTTGTGGTGATTGTTCCTGGTTTCCAAAGTCAATTTTCTCTAGACATGTCAGACAGAGTTTACTTTATTATTGGCTCAAGATATTCTAGATCAACTGCTACTTTAACCAAATTATGTTCATTTTTTAAAGAATCTTACACAGAGATAGCAAGTCTGAATATGTCACTGTTAATGGAGACAGTATAAAACAAATCCAACAGTATAAAGTAGGGGCCAAAGGACTGCTGTAAATCCCCAAAGGCAGACTCTGTCCCTTTGTGAGAACTCAATGTGATGAAATGTGCATGATGTGCCTCAGTCCCAGCACACACCTTTTGTTAACTATAGGATACTGTTTCAATGATGCTGTTAACATGTGAATTTTTTTTTTTTTTTTTTTTTTTTTTTTTTTTTTTTGTGAAGAGCTTTGCAAATGTCGTTGTAGGAAGTATCAGTTTCTGACCAAAAAGAAAAAAAAAAAAGTTCTTTTAGGTAGGAGCAGCATTATAAAAGTGTTTTCTCCCAAGGAACCCTACATTTCTGGCTGCTTTGTGGCCATCTCAGTTGTTTTCTCTGCTGCAACTTAGGTACTAATGTGCTCCTTCTGTATGCAGTGAACCTTATTTCTGTCCCTCAGAGCCAGGCCTGTTGTGACAGTGAATGCTCAGCTCATTCTGAACCCCATGATTGTGAATCCAGACAATAAAACTTGTCAACTCCCTGACTCTCAGCTTTTGGTGGCTTGGTAAGTTCATGATTAGGCAAAAGAAAAAGTCCTCATCCTCTTTCTCAAATAACTCCCTAACTTTTCTTGCAGCTTTTTGTTGAATGTGTTCTAAGTTCAAAAAAATGTTCAAATGTGCTATATGAGCACAACAAAAAACCCCTGTATAGAACAGAGTTCTTTTTGATATCTTCCAGTACTTCACAGATTCTCAAAATGAAGTAGCTGAAAGTCCTTTGATATGCTGAGTCTCCTTCTGCATAGGAGGATGTGCAGTGTCTCCTAGGATCAAGCTGCAAATTCAAATTCAGTGTTTGGATGAATGAAACATGAAACAGGTCAGACAGACAAAACACAGAAACATTGATCTGTGAAAACATGCATCTTTGTTGAGAAAATGTAACAGCGAAGTGTTGTTTCTGGCTGCCATTGGTCAGGGGAAAGGTTTTTTCAGTGCGTTGTACAGGACAATGTTGCATAGATCTTTAAATGAGAAATGCTCTGCCACAGTAGCATTTAGCTTTGAAAAGAAAAAGTACATTCAAAAATTTGAAGCTAATTAAAACAATTTAAGATCAGTTACAAATATAAAATGCTTGCAGGACAGTTGGAGGCTATCTAGTAGCACATAATACCACATAAAGGCACGTTTACTGCACTAGAAAAACGTCATTTAGAAAGGACCCCAGAAACAGTTGATAAAAGAGGCTGTTACAAATACGTAAGATACTGTTTAAAAGTGGAAATCATAACAAATGAGGAAACTAAAAACAAAACAGAGCATAAACATGTGCAAGTTGAATATAAAATACCAGTAAGTCCTGCCAGAGAGACTGCAAGGAACAGATTTCTAAGACATAAAAACTAGTCGTATCATTTTATTTAAACATATTAAAGGCAGAAAGCCTGCCAGGATGTGGGCTGGATGAAAAGAATATCAAGGTGTAAAGGAGGATTCCAGAAGATAAGGTGACTGCAGAAATTTTGCACTGCTTTTAAAACAGAGGTGGTCAGAGGGATTCCCCACAATGGAGACATTTTTTATAGTTTTAAAAATCATCTCAAATGTAAGAGTCAGCAAAAGAGTTTTTAGAGCCAATTGATAAATATGAACTGCAAAAAATTATCATGACCAGAAGCAGTTCATTTAAGAGTCATAAAGGAACTCAACTCTGATACACCTAAGCCACTAAATGTATGGGTTTTCAATGAATTTGATGCAATTTGTGACTCAGGAAGTTCCTAAATTTACTGATTGTTAAAATCTGGGATGAGACTGTCAAGAGATTTTCTCTTTTGCTGTATTATTTTACACTTTATGGGACTTCTCATATTTATCATAATATTCCTCATTTCTACATGCTGTGTAGAAAATCGCCCATCTGCAGAGCAATGTGGAATGCACTCAGTAAACCTGTGCAGTCCCAGATCTTTAAAAAGCTTTGGCCTTTCTGGAACAGGACCCAGATCAAGATCTGTCTTGATTTTTTTGATTCAAGCACCTTTTGTTTTAATAGTTGATGTAATAGAGAATTTACAGTATTAACTTTGGGCTGAAGCATGTTCATTGATCCAAATTGTTTTTTCAGAACTTCAGTTTTTAAGACTTTTTAAGATGCTTTATGCTGTAATGGAAAAGATTTTGAACCCATAAGGTTTACCAACAGTGTACTGAAAGAGAAAAGGTGGGGGTTTTGCACAAGAGAAATAAATAAGAACATCTCTTTTTAAAAAGTACTCCTGCTGTGAGATAAAAAAGGGAGAAAAACCAAAGTATGCTCCTTTAGCATGTAGGTTTTTCATTACTTTTCATTTTTGTTTTACAATAAGCCAGAAGATGTTTGGTTCATATCTACAAGAGTTCTAATAGGAGCATAATTTAATTTCTGTCTGCTTTATTCTAAAATACTCTGCCCTAAAGATTTAGTTTGTATTACAAAATGACTGAAGACCAGCTGCTATTTTCCATGCTGTAATTTTTCTCCTTAGTTGATACAAGCTTGTATTGTACATATGAAAACAATTAGTAGGGAAACTCCAACAGGCAAAGAATTCCCCAGTCCCATGGGATAGATTTCTGTATCTCTTAGCCAGCTGTGCAACTTGTATAAAATGTCTACCGAGTGACACTGCAAAATTAGAATGAAAGGAAACCTCCTACTAGAACAGTTTCAGGACTCTGTGTGTGTGAATAATGTGGATTATTGTACATTTTCAAGTATTAGGAAAATATTATTTTTGCCATGATATAAATTGGAAAACTGAAGCACAGAGGAAACATGCAGAAAAAGTAATTTTTAGACACAGTCCTAAGAGAATTGTCCTGAACTTCTAGAAACATATAATTCTTTCTCTGCTATATTTAAAATGTGGCTATTTCTGACTTCCCAAAACTAAGAAATTTGGAACAAATTCTTCAACTTTGAAGCTATTAAAGAAAATGTTAAAAGATTACTTTTTTTAAGGTGTAAAAGATGCAGGTTAATTTCTGTAAAAAGGGGTAAATAAATCAAACATTTACATTTTTCAAAAGCTGTTTCCACATCATATGATTTATTAAGTCCAAGACTGGGTTCCAGCTATCAAGAGGTTTAATTTATCTCTGCGTTGGTATTTTTATTACCATTTGAGTTCTGATTATCCACTATCTACTTTGTTGCTACTTTGTGCTTATATTGTATCTGCAAATTTTATTTACTTCACCTCTCACTAACTCAAGGTAGGGTGCAAATATTGTTGTTTCTTATCTGGTGAAGTTTTCTTCCTTTGATTGTTAATTGTCTTGGTTGATTCCTCCTACAAGCAAGCATGAAAGCTCAACTATTGTATTTCTTACTGTGCCTGGAAGTCAGATCTTAAATCTCATAAATGCTTTAGAGTCCTGTCCTCTTTTGTGGTCTGTCTTTTCCTCTGCTTTTCTTTTTCTCGCAGCTAAAACATCCCTCAACATCTCCATAACATCTTCTTGCAAAGTGATGAGCATATCTCAGTTTGTCTGGGTTTGTGATCAAAAATCTGTGATGTCTTTAGAATTATTCTCAACTAAATATCCATAACATCACAAGTGTGTGGCAGAATTTTGCTAAACCCATAGTCTTGCCTCTTGCATGGCCAGAGGCTAGGAGACTAATAAACTCCAAATTTTGGGGGTTTTGCACTGCCATTCCCTTTTTGACATGCTCTGTCTGCAGTGGAAGGATTAAATCTTGGCTCTTACAAGAGTATTACTTAAATAATACTTAAGTACATGACTTTGGTTATCAAACGTGTGTGAAGAATTGTTCTATTTGTTACAGTAAATTAAACATACACTGAAATTGTGCTGTTTAATAAGTCAAGCATTTCAGGATGGATTTTTAACTCAACCGTTTTTAAAACATGACAGGTCAAAAATTATGTGAGACCTCCAAAGCAAGATCACTGAGTTTAATACATGATGGCAGTTTATAAGTTTACATTTGAGAAAATACACTCTTATGCTATGACATGTGAGACTGGCCTGTGAAGCCTGATGTCTAAATTGCATTTATGCTATTACACAAGCTTTTCTCATTTTTGTTATTCTTGTCCTTATATATTAGGAAATAATTGGTTCTTCATCTGTTAACTCATAATTACAAAGAAATAGGAATATGACTGAATTTGCAATTTCTGCATGGAACATGAATCAACGCTCGTAATGTCATTTGAAGGCTACAGTTAAGTGGCGTTTAATGGCATAAGGCAATTTTTTTTGCCCAAGAGGAAAGTGTTTAATAAGGTCATGAGAGTTACATGAATCCCAGATGTGGCATGGTTTCATTGCATTTGTCAGAGGAAGCAAACATGCAATTAGAATGTGATTACAGGTTATTTTAAAGGTTATGTTACTGGTTTTGAATTCACCACGTGGAGAAGGTAGTATATAGTGTAACAGTAGTGAGGAGATTAAGAACAATGGCTAATTCAAGTACTTTTTATTTAACCCAAGCTGATTTCACATCTTCCAATGCTGAGCTACAATCCGTGTTTAGCTGAATCTTCCGTATACAAACAAACCGTTTTCTGAACCAATGAAAATATTCTGTAAGAATGATTGGTAACCAGGGATGCTTGCAAGTTTTAGGAAATCCCAAATCTTTCACCTGAGTAATTTTGTTACATTATATGGGACTTCTTTGGGAATAATGGTATGGTGGAGAATTAAGTCCTTGTGGAGTGTGACAGCAGAAATCAAACATCAAGAGCGTGTTTCCAGATTTCTTGTTTTGTCACTCATCAGGGAAGTACACCCTGCTAATAACATCAACAAGTGTCATTATAACTGTTTCCCTAGGCATCCAGAGTAATTTGCAAAAGCTTTTTTAAAATGTGATTCATTTAAATATTTATATAACTTGCATATGTTCCTTACAAAGTGAAACTTTTCAATAAGCATTTATAATTTTTAGGGGGGTTAATTAATTTTTATAATAAGTCTTGTTAGAAGGTATCAGCCAATAAAACTATAAAAGGCTTCTCCTGTCAGTTGTTGAGTACAACTGCAAATCTACTGCCTGTCTTACAGAGAAGTGGAAATAAATGTTTATTATGAGAAATAACTAATTATGGCTGAGATGATGTTTGTATAATACAGTTATAATTGTAATGTGAATATTGCTAGGCTCAAAAAAACTTGCTATAGACTATGAACAGGCAAATGAAAACCAATTAACTTATAATGTGTTGCATTGTGTAGAATGTGTTGCATTAGCATACTAAATAATGAAGATGAATAACTAGTTTCTCTAAGCTTTGATTTAGGTCATGCACCTGCCAGCTTCTGCAAAACTTAGCAAATTAAATACAATACATTCTGATTAGTCTTGTGCAACAAAAATTGAACAGTTCATTTGGTATCTCTGGAATGAATTATAGCCTCTTGAAATCATGGAAGTCTTATAGTAATGCCAATAGAAATCATCCAGTGTGTTTTGATTTGTTGGAAAACAGCTTGGATATTGACTCTATGCTCAAGGATTTTTCTTATTTGACCATAATGAACTAGAAAGGACTTCTGCAGACAGCCTCATGCAGAAGTGGCTTGCTGAAGCACAACATAAGGAACCCAACTTTGCCAATAGTATTAGAAGGGTGGTCTCTGTAGGCTGTCTCAAGAATTAGTAGGAACAGAGATTCTACTCCGTATCTTTCCCAGGAAGACATTCAGACCCTGTCTTCTTTGATTATTAGTGGAGCTTAGGAGACTTGCTAACTTGGTTAGGCAATATTTTAGGTAGCCAAATACAGATCTCAGTGAACATCTTTTTGAGAAAAGGAAAGGAAAACTTAAAAGATATGACTTGGGAACTGCTGATTCCCAGGCCAGCTCTCTTTCTGCTAATAATTACTTCTTCTTTTTTATGTATAGCTTTACTGTAAGAGTCTGCGCAGACTTTGAAGGTCAAAGTATTTCAGATGAGATAGGTAAGAAATATTTTATGTTCCTGTAATTTACTCTGGCCCACTCAATTTCAGATGCATTTTTTTTCTTACACCTTGAAAGATGATAGGAGTGAGATTCTCTATATCTATATATAGATATATAACACAAAGCTTGTATTATTCACTTGAAGGATTCTTGATTCAGTTTAAGCCATTTTCCAAATAAAACCAAGAATATACCCTGCTGGAGAATGTTCTGTTGGAACTTCCTTTACAGATCATACATGTACAGGACTTCTGATGGAAGTATATATAATATATAATGAATTGTTTACTATTTTTTCTTTCCATGTTAAATAAGTAAATATTTGATTTACTTGTATCCTTTAGTGCTGAAAGGTGAATTGCAATTAGATTCACTGAAACAGAAAGGAGCTGTTAAGAGGACCCTCTTCTTTGATTACCATCAGTCACATCATTACTTCTCCATTGTGATAGAAAGACAGAAAGAGCTCCATTGCCAGGACTTTCTTGTTTATCTCAGAGTAAGTTGTTTCAAATATTTTGGATTGTCATCATCATTTGAGTAGTATCAGGGATTTAAAGATAACAATAAAAAAAGGAGCCACTGGAAAAAGAAGAACAGTTTCCATTGTTCTTAGATCCCAAAATTACAGAAATGTCAGTTAAGAAAAGTGCCATCTGGGTGTCCGGAACTTTCTTCTACCTGGGCAAAACTTTTCTATGTAGATCTTTTGCTCATCTTTTGTCAATGTAAGTATAAAAGAAAGACTTCCTTTGAAGAAGAGTGTACAGTTGCTCTATGTACAAATACACTCATTTTGTGCATTTCGGGAAATTCTGATTAAATACTGCATCTCCTGATACACAAATGCAAGATTGTCCTGTAGTATTCACAGTGGGATAATCAACTAAACATGTTAAATGTCATGCCAATTCAGTTCCAACAGATATTTCAAAGGAGTGTCACCAGCAATATTGGCCTAAAATTCACATATTTAAAAAAATATTTTTAGGATATTTTAAAACATTTTTAGAAAAATTAAACCTATGGAACTGAAGTTGTGAAGGAGAAAGGGTCATTGGTTACACACTTGCAGCTGGAATTACCTCATGCAATTGAAGCAGATTCCAAGGCTGTTCCTAGAAATGCAGCAGGAGGTGAAATGGAGGTGTCTCAAGCAATATGTAAGGAAGTATCTAGGCAATAAAGGTGGTGGAGTTTTACCATTGCTAATCCATATCAATTCTTTGTTATGGAACAAACCGACAATATTACCTTCACAAATCCACACATATCCTCGGTCCATTCCGAAAGGAAGGAGAGCGGCAGCTGATAGGAGTTAGTTCTGTGTCTCTTTTAAACAACTTCGTTTTAGGCTAATGCTTTGAGAAAATTCTGAGTCTACTCAGCTCAGCCGGCTTCTTCCAGATGTGGGGCTGCGAAGGCAATGCATTCTGGGCATTCTAGTTACTGATGAGTCACTTTGCTTTCCTAATGACATTATATGCAGCCAGAATTTGGTCAGTAGCTGTCAAAGAACCTTTACCTTCAATAAAGACTGAAGTCTGAATCTGTTGCAATACCATACTAATCTGAAATAATTATATGAAACCATTGGGTTTTATTATGTGATTGTCTCTCACAGGATGAAACAGAATTTCGAGATAAATTATCTCCCATCAATATAAACTTGAATTATAGTTTGGATGAATCCAATTTTGGAGATAGCTTGACTGTGAAACCGATACTGAACTATTACCAGAAAAGCTCCGTAACAGAACAGGTATGAATTTTGCATGCCACGTTTTCTGTATATGAACATGAAAGCATTTACAAACACTGTGTGTCATCTTCCTTAAAACAGAATTTCATGCCCAGAGATTACACAACAAGGATTTAATTCGTTCAAAATGTAAATTGAATATAAATATAGAATCAGGCAGGCCTTTAAAGCATTTCCAAAACTTTATTGCGTTTATAGTTTTGATTGCATTCTGGAATATGTAAGCCAAGTTGCTGTGGGAAAGGGCCTGAAAGATTATATTGTTCTGCTAAGGACAGAGTTGACAGTCTAAATAGTATCCAACAGTACTCATGTGGAAAGGCACTTACAGAAAGGAGAAAGAGATTAATTCACCAGGGCAGTGCTAGTGATATTTAAGACATTTTGTTTAGTGATATTTAGGACATTTGGGTTAGGGATATTTAATGAAGTGATTTGGACTTTGAAGCATGTACTTACTGTATTATATTTTTTTTTATTTTCCAACAACATAGGCTTACATTCTGGTTGACTGTGGGGAGGACAACTTGTGCATTCCTGACTTGCAGCTTTCTGCTATGCCGTAAGTTAAATAAAATAAATGATGCTGCATAAAAGAAAATCCAGACACTTCTACTTGCTTTAACAGAACGAAATATATAGAACGCAGTTCTGTTGTTTGTTATAGGTGCTCATTCTTACCTGATTTCCAGATTTTAATTTGCACATCCATTTCATCTAGAAAACCAAGAAATGGAGAAATATACACTTGAAAATGTATCTTTGTCAGACACATTTGTGATGGTTAATGGCTATCATAGAAAATACACTTTGTAAGTGTTTGTCAGAAGTGATTCTAGTTCTCTGAATGCCAAGAGACAAAACAAATTGCTGTTCAAAGGAGATTTTAATTTTATTTATTTCAGTGTGCCAGTGACTTAACTTGGGGCACAGTTCTCCTCACCCAGTATTCAATGAAGTAAATGAATCTCAGAAGAATTTCAAAACATGGCAACAATTCCTCCTATGGAGGGAGAAATATGCCAAGCAGGATAAGTGGGCAACCTCTGACAGTTATCTGACTCTGTGCCATCAAAGCACGTAGCGGTGAAAGGAAAGGGCACAGTGCCGTTGCAGGTCTCAGGAGATCATCTGCCATTCTTCATTTTACAGTGGGCATAAGGGGAAAGCTGGAATCCCACCACCTTTGTGCCCTCCAGAAAACAATGCTGATGGGACCCCTGTGGCAAGTAATTTCTCCACTAGATACTTCTTTCTGGTTAGAAAGTAGTCAGGCTGTGAAATTTTATACAACTAACTTTGAAATTCTGCAGTCATCCACTTTAATTGCCCATGGTGGTGTTTTCTCTTGGCCTCTTTCCTACCCAAATGCTGGCATACTTTTCCATGGGGTCATTTTTTATGGAAAATGTTTTATTGTGTGTTCACAGAATATTTTCCTGAACAGATGCTATGAGAGCAAAGTGTCCTGCTTTATTCATACGTTTATTCATGCATGTTTTAACACCTGACAAGTAGTATGTTCTATATAGAGATAAAGATCAACTCATAATTGGAGAAGAAAACTGTGTCATGCTCATAATAAATCCAAGGAATGATGGGGAAGGAGCCTATGAAGCTGAGCTACATGTAAAGATTCCACCTGAAGCAGATTACACGGGGGTTGAACGCAACAACAAGGTAAATGAAAATCAAAATATTAGTGCTAATAAAGCAGAAGAACTAAGAACAATGTTAACCTATGTAGGCTATACCAGCTGAAAGCAGCAAGTAAAGAGGTGCCTCTTAGGAGGGGAGATTGCATCAAGGCTCAGCTATCCGTGCTCACACAGTCCAGACTAAAGGGTAGCCATGTCACCAGGAGATGGGAAGATCAGGACTATTCTGTTCAGATCCAGCTCAGATCCAGCTCCTTGATATTAATTTAGTTATAAATTAAATAACCACACAAATACTGTCACGTTTCTCCTAGGGCTAGAGGTATTCACATCATTCAGATTTTGAACCAGTAAACCCTACCAGTAACACGGAATGATAGTGCAGAATCCCCTGAGTGCTTCCAACCCTGGATCCCATGGTGGTACCAGCTCTCAGTCAGAATTAATGAGCCCTCCTGAACCCCAGACAATTGGACACCTCTGTCTTGTGCTCCCAGCACACCAATGTTTTACCATTATTAAGGGTATCCCAGTCTCTGATATCCGGAATAGTTGGACGTTAACTGGAGTATAAACTTAACAAAGTTGATTTCCTTTCTAGTCAATTATTTTATCTTATGGATAGGCCAAAAAAGCAGTTATAATGTAAAATGTGCCACTGTTCACAGAAGGACTAATGTTGACTGAAGTCCTGCTGAGCTGTACTGAACATAAAGTGTTTCCTTTTTGGGTCTGTTTGTTTTTTAAGAGCAAAGACGAAACACTATCTTGCAAACAAGCAGAGTGTTCATGTATTCTCTGTTGGATAGCAGGCCTGAATCACCTCATCTGCACATAAATCTCCCGAGCTGTTGCAACATGAGCTTGCTTTTTTCTGTCAGTCCCTGGAATGTTCAGAAGGGCCTCAAGGGTGAAAGTGGGAGAAAGCAAGTTTATTTCTTTTCAAAAGGCAAATGTTTTTAAGGAAGTTGAAAGTAACTTACAAGGTATTTCCTTATTCTCCTTCTGTCAGTGTCTTTATTAATGGGCTTTTAACCCAGTTTGAAAAAAATGACAGGAATTAATGATGTCACCAAAGATGAGAATATGAAAATTCTCTGCAACCTCACTTTATTTGTACATATATTTGTACACAAATAAGCAAAGACACCAGCCTTTTTCTATTGTCTATTTCTTTTGTTGTCTTAGCATAGCCTCTGTTTTTTTGGACTGTGATCTGCAAAACTTAACTTCTCTTTAATATACTACACCTGGTTTTATTTTTCCTTTGTTGCTCTTTGGGAATCTTTGACTGTTCTTTTGGCCATTACCAAGGATGTCAGGGGAGGCATTTATTCCAAAACTCACAGCTCTTATTAGCACATATCTGTCTTTTGGACTGGACAGAAATCACTCTGGGCTTTTCATTACTTTAGGAAAAATTAAATTTTATAGTGCCAGCAGGGTAGACTTACGGGAAAGGAAGGAAGGAAAAAAGAGGTGAGAGATTCTGGTGCTTTGGAAGAATAAGGAGAAGCTAGAACAGGGTGGGAAGGAGTGTTAATATTCTTTTTCTTTTGAAATTTTTTTTTTTTTAAAAGCCCAGGAAATGTAATGCTTTTTTTTTTCTTTTTTTTTTTTTTTTTCATTTTCTTCAGATTTTGTGGAAGATAGATAAAGTACATTTTTGACTTCTGGATTTGTAGAAAAATTGCCTTCATTTTGCCCACATTTACTTAGTTCACTTCAACATACAATTTATTTCATATTCTCTTACTTTTCATACTTAGTCCATTCAAAGAGATGTCATTATGTTTTTTCTGAGAAGGATCAAAACATTAGTCCTACTATCTACATCATTCTTAGTGTCTTCCCTCCTGCACTGCAGGTACAGTTTTCAGAAGGATTACAAATGGTACTGAAAGCGAGTTTATTCTTTCTATTGTTTTTAAACTGTAAATGTGTAATTTTTTAAAACCTATGATCTTCATGATATTATGGTTCCATTAGATAAACTAAAAAACTCACTTCTAAGTGCATTTGGAAAAGAAACAGATATTGTCATTTTCTTCAAAAAGACAAAGCTAAAACTTGCTGGCGTTTAACTGCTGGTGGAGGATGGCTCTTGGATGTATTCTGTTGCTTTTCTGTACTGCCATATGGCACCTAAAACTGCTGTGAACATGACAAAGAATATACAATCTTTGAAATTTAAAAAGAAATTTTAGACACATTTTTAAACTCAAACATTCATTTATATCGTTCCTGTTCTGTTTTCTCATTCAATTCATTCTGTCTAAATGTACAAATTAAGTAATTTGACCACTCAAAGCAAGAATTAGCAGGTTTTTTCAGGTTTTTTTCCCCCAGAGTGATCAGAATCCTAGGTATCAGAGGTTCATGTGTTACCAGGATGATCAAATTCATATGGATCATAGTATAAATGAGTATAAATTAGAGAGAGACTCAATTAATTCAACCTATAGGGCTTTAAAAATATGTTAATTTGAACCAGTTGACAAGAACACAGAAGAAATTATCACAGTGGTATGCAGTAAACACTGGAGTATATGGAATAAAGGTGTCTCAGTCTGTGGGTACTTTGAGGCATGGACCATAGATGAAAATTAACATTTTTCTATCAAGATCTCACTTCTTATTTTTCTGTTTGCGGCACACCCTGCTGATGGGTGATCTGTGACAGCTCCTGAAATGTACTTGATTTAATATAGAGTAATTTCAGCAGACAGGTGGATTTGTGGTAGAGCCTATTGTAATCATGCTCTTAAAGCTCTGCATCTAAGGATTTCATTGATACTTCGATATATCCATGTTTATGGTCCTCTGTGTAGCTGTTTTTCTCCAAACTGCAGAATTCCTTGTATTCAGGCAGAGATAATATTCACCTCAGAGCCAACAAAACAGGTAGACTGAGAGTAGAATAAATGAAATGTAATGAGCTGAAAAAATCACTTGATACATTTCTGATAGAACTGAAAAGTCTTTAGAATCAAATCATTCTATTATGCTGCCATCATATCAAAGTAACTATAGTCATAGAGGATATTAGGCTACTTTATTACGGGGCTACTCTGGATTTAGTCTATCATCTAACAGAGAAACAAATATGTCCCTTAAGTGCTTCCTGTCCAACCTGATTTTTTTGGAACAATTTATTGGGTTATTCCATATCATTTGAATTACACTCAGAAAGTGTTAAAGTCAACTGAAAATTCACTTGCTTTCTACCTCTTCCTTTCAGCTTTGTGGAATACAATGTTTGACCTGCCTCACTTGTCGTTATCTTGTTATCTCAGGCCTGATTCTCTGGCGTATTGTACATAGACTGTGCGACCTTATCAAAAGAGCAGCATTTTGCAGAGATGTACATGATCATATGCAAGGGGAGAGCCAAGTGAATGTGTGTGATCTTAAAGTATGAGGTCAAGGATGTGATTTTGAAATTTCATTGATTCTTGCATGTACTGATACTTCCTTCAGTCGAAAGCTGATTAATGAAATACAATGACTTACAATGAAATCAAATGTTTTATTCATTAGTTGTATTGTGGAAACACTTAGAAGATCCAGAGACGAGGTAAATGAGTAAATTACCACAGCTTTACTAGTTACTGGAAACCTGTTGGCTTGTAATAACTGTACAGTAGGTGTGAAGTTACTGCAATTAGCTGCAATGAAAAAGTATAACCACATTATATTACCTCACATTTCCATGGGCAGCAGTAGATCCAGAGACAGTATATACTTGCTGTATGGTACATTCTTACACTACAGTAGGACGATTGTGTCTTTGAACCCCAAGCCGCTGCATGAATACTGTGCACTAATGCTTGGCGCAGTGAAAGAGTTCCCCATATTGAACAGCTCAGTCCTGCCTTAGTAGCAATGGCTGGAACTGAAATTCACGTGGAATGATTAGTAGAAGTACATCAGGCAAATACAAAGCCCTAATAGGTATTTGGTCCATGCCAAAACCTTATGTCTTACCTGAAAATTCTTAGAATAAGTACATGGTGGCTGGCTAGATGAGATGTGATCTGAGACTTGTGAGGACAAATACCAGTTCTTCATATATCAGCTGGACAAGAAGCTAGATTCTGGCACCTCAGAAAATAAGACTGGAAGATTGATCAAGGAAAGAGCAGAGCTGTTCTACTCTGCAGCCTGTTGTGCTTAACTATTCTGGTATCAATTAGTAATTCATCGCTAAGACCACCAGAAGGAGTTTCAAGTTTGTAGGCTGCCTGGATTACTTAAAGCATCCAATCATTTTCTAGTTAAAATGCACCCTGGGAGCACGTGTTAATTGTTGGGGTTTTGCTTCTGCTCAAGACTGCCAAAAGACCATGTGTTGCTATAAAAATATAAATTGCTACCAGTGGCAGGTAGAAGGGGTTTGTGGCAAAATCTTCCATCTGGCTGAGCTACATATGAACTCAATGATACTGACAATAGTAGGTATATAAGTCTCTGCTCTTGCTTACTTCCTTCCTGGTTTTAATTTTCCTGTTTTGCACTTAATCACCTTGAAAAGGTGATCAGTGAAAAAACAAAGGGAATAAATCTCAGTATTGAAGAAATTCTATGACAGCTGACCCTTTGTCGCATCTTTATGCTGCACAAATTAGCTTTTGTGATGGTGGTCATATAAATTCTGTGCCACTAATCATTTTCAGTCTAAGAGCATAGCTTCCAAATTGCAGAAAACCTACTCAAACTACTCTATTTGCTCAGCCTTTGAGGGACAAAAAATGTGTGATAAGGGCTGATTTACTCTGTGCTGGTTTATGGTACAGCATTGATAAAGAGACTGCAAAGTATCACATATAGATAAATATTTATTTTCTAACATTTAGATCTCAATTTCACACACCCCCAAAGCAAAAATAAAACTATAAACCCACACGTCAAGCTAAAATGAACCATTTTCCAGAGAAGTTTGGTTTCAACTGTGTTCATACCCTCTCTTCTCCTATCTGTTGCTTCCCACCTCTAATTAACCAGCTGGAGAGTGTGTAAAAATCCCCTTCTCCTGACCTTAGAGAGACTTAGAAAGGCTGTTACTGCACTGGTCATGCTGTGTAACAAACTTTGCTTCCTCCTAGCAAATTGTAGAAGTGTCAGTATAGGATGAGGTGTGTACAGAAGGCATGCTTGACATGGGCTCATTTTAGGACATGCCCTATATTTTCTTTTAATCTCAGGAAATGATAAGATCAGCACGTCCATACTGTCTTTTACAGATAGGAATGAATTGGTAGTCAGTGGTCTGGACATTTCCCAGGTCTTTTTATATGAAGAGCACGACCTTGCACATATTGCTTAATCTGTGAAGGTCACAAATGAGATGAAAGGTAGTGGGAGAGCCTTACAGCAACAACTAGCTGCATCCTGCTTTTACAAAGCTGGTTTACTTCTGCATGTATATGGAATTATTTGCTTTTATTGAATATGCCAGAGAGGAAAACAGGGGAAAACCCCCCATTTTGTTGCTTTGTCCTACTCTGTATCTCCTAACTGCTTCTATAACTGTCCCTCCCTTTATATAGTCTGTTTTGTATACAGATGATACAACTAGTAATAAAGACTATAAAGGGTTAAAAGAAAAAAGAAAACATTTTACATTAAGAGCATTTTACATTAAGAGGGATATTATATTAGTAAATTCTCCAAGTTATCCACTAAAACTGCCTGAGAAATGTGAAGTACAAACTGCACTTTGAACAAATAGTTGCTGGAAAAAGTTAAATTTTACATATTGCCATAAACAACAAAAACACCTTAATTTCTGATAATGTGAAAATCTATCTTCTTTGTTGCTAAATTATAAACACAGCTAACAGATTATGTTTTTAAAGTATTTAATGTTCTAAGTACTTTACCATAGGTTGGAAAATGAAGTTCTAGACTTGGTCTATAATAAAGTTCTGCCAATGCCAGAATTTCAGTACAGAGACTTCTAGTGATGGATAATACAACTATTGCAATTAGTGTGAGGCCTATTCTCCTCACTCAGTTTTGCCTACTCTTTTTTTCTCAGTTGAGTCATTATGGCTGTAGGAGCGATTCACAACAACAAGACAGTATGTTAAAACTAGAAATAGAGTGATCTCATCATGGGTCTTAGGGTACTGGGAAACTTTACTGTTTGTTTTTCCCGGCATCAGTTTTCCCCTGTTGTCTGACAATAACCAATTAAATGTTTTGATAGCACACTGAGCAGGTGTCTGAAATGAAAAGAAATGTCACAGTCAAAAAGGCATCATTTTCCCAACTGGATACATTTCACTGTGATCTCTGACCTCCATATTGGTGTCCTTTTGTTACAGGCACTGCGTGTGTTGAGCTGTGATTACAAGATGGAAAATGAAACTAGAATGGTGGTTTGTGATCTTGGGAACCCTATGGTGGCTGGTGCAAACGTAAGGGAAAATCAGATGCATTTCCTGATTTTTATCTAATTGAATTTTAAAGGGGAGCAAATGGAAAACTATTCAATTAGCAGAATGTGTCCCAATAAGCAACACCCAAACCAGATTATTTACTTGGACAGGAAATTGTTGGTGTAATAAGAGGCAGAACTGTGCTTCTAAAAAAACTAAAAATTTGTTGTTCTAAAAGATTAATGGTGCTAGAGTCTGTAGTTTATTTCACTTACTCCAAAGAAAATGAGTGACTCAAATTGAGTCACAGAAGTTGCACTAGTATAATGAGAAGAGAATCCAAGTCCATAATGTGATCTGTTGTGTGATTTCTCCCTTTTATTATTCTTTCTATTCAAGATATGTGTAGTAAATGACAGCTTCTTCAGCCTGATTCTCATCTTGAGTGCATAAGGGTTGTCTTATCAGTTTATATCATGATTTATATCCATGAAAATGTGGTTGGACCCAAGTTTTCCTTCAAGTTATTAATGTCATTCTGAACATTTTCCTAAGACAGCTATTCATAAATCATAGTACGCATTAGATGAAACATTCGTAGCATTGTTTTTAGACAAAAGTGGAACTGAATAATGACTGATGATGGACAGCAGATAAGGATTAAACATAGGTTTGGAGATTAAAAAAGTGCTATCCATTCCACAGTTGTCATCACTTGTCCCTGTTTCATGACAAAACAGTTCAGGGCAATCCCAGAAGTGCTGAACCCAGGAATATTCAGCCATGGATGCCCCTGCAGAGGAATTCTAGTGCTGCTCATAAATTCATCAATGCTATGAATATTTAACTAAAACCAAATAATCCAAGCTTTTATACCTAGAAAAAAAGCTGTCCTAATAAAAATGAAGCAGTTATCAGCATGAACATATATGAGGAATAAACAACAGCTTTTAATTGAAAACTGCCACTGTTTGCATTTCATATTGGGCCTGGGGCTTTGCAAAGAAACCAAAGCAAATCTCTCCTTAGTATTGTCCAAATCCCTAGTAAGTTAAGGTTTGTCCTATGGAAGATCAATATTTCACTCTTCAGACTCTCTATAGAGGGTTGTTTTCCTGGCCTCCTGTGATCTTGAAGCATTTGCTGTCTGACCCTCTGTAAAAGAACCAAAAGGGCCATATGATAGAAGACTGGCACTAGAATAAGCTTGTTTGGATCATAGCATTAACTTCAGATCAGTGACAGAGCTTTTGAAAGTGAATGTGAGACCAGGTGTCTCATACAGTCATCTGCTTTCATCACGGTCACGAGCAGTCCTAGATAGACTCTTTGGGATTATAAGGAGCTAGAAAGCACTGAAAAATTAACTCCAGGTGATGGACCTACTGGGAGCAGGAACCTGCCTGGTGAGGATCCTCCTCTGTAGAACTACTGTGAACGAGAAGTCTGAAGGGGGTGCTATAAACATTTTCTGAGAAGGACATTGCACTAAGGCGGCAGACTGAAAAGATATTGCAATCAACAAGTATAGAAAAGAGGGCTAAAAGGTTTTGTAGTTTTTGTTTTATTATACTAAATGAAACTCCTAAAAAGTAAGAGTAATTGAAAACATTTCTGAGGAATGGGAGGCGATGATGGGCTGAAGCACTAGATAAATCCCAAGTCAAGGTAGATAATTTCTCATATCAGAAAGCCAGCAAATTTAGATATCTGCCTAGTGGCTTCCTGGTCAGTCTCATGGCAGAACCATATTCTCAAGATACAGACAAAAGTGGACACAAATCCTGTGGATGATTGGAGTGCAGTGAAGGGGGAAGGACAGCATAAAAACACATGGGTTTGGAAGAGAAGAGGAAGACTAAACACAAGAAACACTAACATTGTATGTCAAACTAGGAGCAAATCTTTGTGATTTGCATATTGTCATAAACATCAGCAATGGAAAGGTCTAAGTGTGGAGGTATTATACTACACCACTTCACACTCTTCCCTTTGAATCCAAAGCCCTGTTTCCACATCATCCTTGACCCAAAAAGCTAGCAGTATGAATACATCAATAATGCTGTTTGGTGGCCACTAAAGCAATACTACTCTCACCTGACTTACAAAGTCTCACAGCATAACTAATCCTGTTTTTCTTCAGTATCAGCTCTAGGGCTGCCATAGATGCATTGTTACCGAATATTCCTAAGCAAAATACTTCATAAAGAGACACTTAAAAGTAGCAGAATAAAACAACAGGACTCATAACATGTTTAAGGATATTCTGGATTATAACAAAAGAATCCAACCCTTGAAAATTAAGGCACATGAAATTAGAGCATTACCAAGCCAGATGGCAAAAGTGTTTGATTATAGTAAGTGAAAGCTTAAAGCCTAACTTTATCTTTGAAACCAGCTCTCCTGGAAGCTTCGTAAAGGTGAAAGGACTTGAGCTTTTTCAGTACAAATGTATTTGTGATGGCAAATGTACTTCCAACAGCGAAATACCAGCCCTTTGTACAAATTGCATAAATCACGGAAGGCTGCTCTGATCCATTTCCAATTTTGCAAAACAATTCTGCTCTGGCAGAAGATCAGTTATTCTCAAACTATTCAGTCAGAAAGGGACTCTTTGTGGAAGTTGTGAGGGAGTGGGGAGGGAGGGTTAGGACAAAATAAAACGTTGCTAAAACTCTTAACTATTGAGTCACTGTAATGACTTTTCAGCACCCTGAAATCCTAGAGTTCTTGAACTCTTTAAGATCAACTTCTGAGTATGAGGGTTATGTCAGGATTTTGTGATATAACCCATGGAATATTACTTCAGCGGGCTACAAACTTGTCTGACGCTTCCATCTTCAAAATGTGTTGTTATCGTCAAAATTGGTATCTCTCTGACTTTTTGAAAATCTGTGATCTTAAAATCATTTACTGGCCACAAAATTTACTTAATCTTTTTAGTAATATCTTTGTGGTTAAAAAAAAGATAAAAAGGTGAAAAAGAAGATAAAAAGAAATGGGAAGGAAAATCACAATACCATATGGCCCAGAATGCAAAATAAATGTCTGTGATACATCTGACTGGCAAAGAGTGCTCAAAGTACTTATTTATGACACTGAAATGGATCAGGCTGGCAAGCTTCCTAATGCCTGTTCAGCGGCCTTAGCAAGTGAGATGTAGGTTTTATTATAAATTCTGGTTGAAAAATTTGGAAGGTAATAGAAATTAGTAGAAAAAAAGGTTAGAAGACTGGGAGGCTTGGAAGATCTCACCTGTTTCTTGGTAGGTGATTCTTCAAGAGCACAGAGGCTTTATCTTTCACATGCACTGTAAGACACTTCAAAAAAAGCTAGTCCTCTGTCTCCCAGCATTCTCCTAGGTCCTGTTGAACATAATAACAGATTAAAGCTTATCAGTAATAGCAGAAATGTCATATATTGCAAAGATACATGATGTTACTAACATGGCAAATAATAATGCAATTTTAATGAAACTAACTTCACTTGGAAAATTTTAAATAAAATTAAACTATTCTGACAAAATGAATGTCCTACTAAAATAAGGAAGATGAGTGATTGCTAAGTTACAAGCTCAAGCAAATTCAACTCCTTTGGCTTCAGCGGATTTTCAGCAAGGGCATGTGAGCATCTTTGCCCCATTATTAGTAGCAGTGTCAAGGGCTACTTGACAGTAATAAAGTCATATGACCATACAAAGGCAACATCTGCAGTTTATTAGACTGGTACAGTAGGAGTGTGTTTCAGTATTAAATAAGGGATTAAGCCTCAAGGGTATAATAGATCATCAGAACTGCAGTTCATGTCTGCTGTCTCTAAGGAAAATTTTATCTTTGGTCATCAAATCTTTATTTTGCTGTAAGTGGAAACAAATTTATATAGATTGGTTAGTAAAAACAGTCAGAGAAATGCTGAATTCAATATTTGGAATTTTTTGTCTCAAAGATTTAAAAAATTACATTCTGTTTTTAAAGGTGAGTGAAATATCAATACAGTTGTTAAAATCATCTCTAAAAAGTGGTCTTAAAAATAGCTTACATCTCTATTCCAAGTCAGCTATTCAGCTTTTGTTTATTTTAATGAGCATTATCTTTTTGGGGGGATTTTACTTCCAAAAAGAGAAATTATTTTTAACTACAACATTAAAATGGTCAGAATTCAAAGATTTGAACTTGCTATTTCTTTTATGATGACAATATTGCTGTCAGCATAGGACAGCTGAAAGAAGTAATTGAAACGTTGGCTAAGTCTCATTCTGGAGATGTATTAAGGTTCAGTGATGCACCACTGCAAATGAGGAAAGGAGGAGAATCGAATGAAAATTTTTAAAAAAATGTTTCGGAAAAAGGAATTGCTTAAACATCTGAAATGACACCCACAGAGGAAAATGGCTTCTCTTCAGTCATGTTGAATCTACGCCCCAAACATAAAACTCTACCTTGTTTTGTTCTTTCCTGTTGCTGACAATGCTAGCCTAAGTATGTTAAGGAAAATATGCCAAGCAGACAACTCTTTTTTTTTTTTTTTTTCCCTCCTGTAATCTAGTCAGATATTGGCAGAGATGAAGGAATGATTTCCTCATTTCCTAATGCCTTCTGATGAATTTCTCAGGAAGATTGTTTCTCCACATGGAGAATATAGCTATATGTAACCATCCTTTTTTAAAAAATGAAAGCAGGGGAGGTGGAGGCGAACAAGAAGTTGTACAAGATTACAGGCTATAGACTTTGCTGTCAGTCTCAATGCAAAATTGACATTTGAAAAATTACCAGATTCAAAACAGGTGCAGTTTAAATGAGGCAATTAAAAAAATTAATTTAAACAATGCAGTACAATTTTATTAATTTAACATGGAGGGCAGATGGCACATCCCCCTGCTGCCCTGCCACTTACATACTGGGGCTGCAAATAAGTTCAACAAGAGGGTTACAGAGACCCCACCATATGCTATTGTATATTCCTTCTTTAGTTAGCCCTGCAATTCCATTCTCTCTTTGGAATTAACTTGTTCTGCTTTACTCCATGCCCTTCTTGCAAAGCAAATGGGAATCATCAGAGGGAGGAAGCAAGGTCTGCATAAACACAGTGGAAGCCCTTATCTCCTACAGTTTTGGGAACTGTGTGTTTTGCCCTGTATCTTCTGTCCTCTCACACTGCAAGTTGTGGCAAACTGAACGGCAAACGTAACTTTTGAAGTTGTATTCCTCTTAACTGAACTATGGCTCCCAGAAGCTGCAATGGAAAAACTCAAATCAAATCAAACTAAAACATCAAGCTGCTGCTAATTTAGCCTCTAGAAGAAAAACAGTCAGCTCTGCAACACCTAAAGCATGCAGGACACCTGGACAAAGGCATGCAGGGATGAGAGGTGCCAGACAGCTATTACTTTCTTTTGGCTTGGTAAAGTAAAGCAAAAACTGGATGAAGAAGGGCCCACCGCTGTGTTCTTGGAAGTATGCTTCTCTGTTCCTCTTGATCTTTCCTCTGTCCAGCCAAGTTTTCCATCTGGTGATATGAACAGGCAGGATGGTATTTTTTCCTGAAAACAACTAAATGATATTATTTCATACTAATTTTAAGAAGTAACAGTATCCTATACAAATCTGTGAAATGCAATGTTGAACAGTACTGCTTTCTCAATAAGGAAAGATCAAACCATTTTTAGTAACCTGTTGTTTTGTTTCTTTCCCAGTTTTCTACAGGCATTCGATTTTCTGTTCAGCATTTTGAAAATGCAGATTTCAGCATCAATTTTGAGCTGCAAATAAAAAGGTTAGATGTCTTATCAAGAGTATGGTTATTTAAATTCTGAATTCATATTGATGCCTGGAGTTTAATATATAAGAAGGTCACTCTAACTCTTCAGTGTCAGTATTTATTTCATGGGCTTTCCTATGGTAGCTTTCTTCAGGAGGATTTGTGGAGTTGGAGTCTTGTTAGCTTTTAGCAAAATCAGTCTTAGAGTTATTCTGAGGATTTTATTTTGTTAAAATTCAGGGTAACTCATTTTGGTCAGTGGTCCAAGGATCTTCCACAGATTTGCCAAATTTGCACTTAGTTCTCCACTTCAGGATTAATGAACAGTGATCACTTTGTAACAAAGTTCTGTATTTAAAAACATATCATGCTCTGAAGAAAAAAAAAAAAGACATGCTACTTCTTCACAACAATTTAGAAAATAGAGGGAGAGCGGTTAAAATCTGCTCAACAGATTTACTGGCATGAAGAGAGAAAGCCTTTTCAGTTTGATGCAGGTGAACCCTTGTCATTTTTCCATTAGTTTTCTCCACATTTGTGGGGCTGAAATATTACTGCTGGAGAATCTTCTGTTTTATGTTGTGCAGTACTTCCTCCACAGGGACAAAAATCCACAAGATGAGCTGGGTTAGGATAACAGCAAGAACAAACCTGAGACTTTTTCAGTAGGTGGCAGGGCTTCTGCTCCATCTGTCCTCATTAAACACGCACTGGAGTTCCTGATGGGGCCCTCCCTGCCCCACACACAGAGACTTAATTGCTAATGTCTGGCCTTTAATGAGAGCCTTGATCATGTTCACTATGATAAATAACTGAGACATTTTAAATGTTTAAGTCATGTTTTCAGAATGTAACCCCTGAAGGAAAGGACATGCAGAAACTCAGGAAGGGCACAGCAATGCCACAGAAGACAATGAGGTGCCTGGTCAGGCCTCAACCCTCTCCCAGGGGTCTGGCTGGCGAGCTGGAGACCATGCAAAGCTGGGCCTGGGCTCCTCCAGAGAGAGATACAAGATACAGTGTCTAGCTTGTAGGTCCTCTGTCCATACCACTGTTCACTGTCAGGTCATTAATGCAAGCAATACAATTTTAAATGGGTATCGGAGGCTCTCGGCACTACCCTTTTCATGCTGTGAAATCAGGGAGATTCAGAGCTTTTTGGGTAGCTAGATCTTTCTAGGTAATAACAGTTGAGGGTAGGTCATTTTTGTAGAAAAAGTGACAAGTCTGAATTTCAGGAGGTAGCAACATATCACACTTCCTCCATGAGTGTGACTCAGTAAAATGTAAAGGGAGGGTTGGGCCACCAAAAAGGACAGTTTCCACAAATCCACCATCAAAATGGTGAAGAGCATCCAGCTACTTTAAAAAAGGAAAAAGTAAACCTTCTTGCATAGGGAATGTATGCTACAGTTAAAACTCACTGCTTTATGCATTCCTTCTCAAGCAGCCCTACAGTTTGTGCATTTCTATATACTTAGTGAACAGATAAAACAGTCTTAAAAGAAAAAGGAAACAGAAGTCCATAAGGCAGAAAGAGGAAATTATGGAAATGGAAGGAAAGGGAAGCAAAGAGCACATCTGAATTTCTGTCCTGGTCTGAGTTATTCAAAAGAGAAACCTTAATTTACTCCAAAACATCAAGTGGAAATTAAATGTTTTGGTTTGCAAGATTGAAGTTCATTACGTGTAGGAAATAAGCAAGAGGCTGAGTAGTGTCTCGAAATCTGATTCCTTTTCTGATGCGGATTTTGCTAGGCAATTATGTACCCCTGAGAGAGGGAGATGTCGTGGCACTTTTATTTAAACTATTTTCCTCTCTACAAAATACCATAAAGCACAAACAAGATTTAAATACCAAATATATATGATCAAAATCTGTATTTTAACTCTATGGAAAGTATTACCATTATAGAAATTGGACAGCAGCTTATTCTAACACATTAGTGGTATAGTCATTTTTATACTTTAGGCAATTTTGTACTCAAAGCAATTGCTATGGAGCATTACATCAAAACTTCAAATGAGGGGAATCTGTATTAGTTTACAAACAAATTAGAGCTGCTCCTAATTTTAGCAGTCTGTAACCAGAAAGCCTGGATCAAAGCAGTATTGCCCTTTACTCCTCAGGAGTCAGTTGCTGGGAATGCTGGCCTCCTCTGAATGTTTCCATTTGACTGATGCTACCCAGATGTGATAACAGCAAACTGTGACAGCAATAGAAACTTAGTCTCCATGAAACAAGGAAGTACTTGTTTTTTGGAAAAAACCTCCAAACTTAGTGTTGTTAATCCCATAATTAAATAAATTTTAAGACTGTAATTATTTATCTTCACTATCTTCATGAATTTGAACCTGCAAACCTTTCTTTACATGAATGAGCTATAGTCATAGGAATGGCCTTTTGAAGAGAAGCTACCTTTATTACTAAGGATTTGCAATAAGAAAAGACAATAAAATCAGTGAGAGCACTAGGCTTTAAACATAGGGATCTGTTTTCACTGTTAAGTGGGATTAAGGGTGTAAACAATCTCGATAGAGAGGAGAATAAAAAGGTAAAGAAACAGTTTATTTTGGTTGTTTTTCTTCAGAAACTCTGTCATACAGAAGTCACAAGTTTGGAGAGTCATAAAAGCAAATTTTATTATAACAAAGCCTATCATCTTGTTCATTAACGCTGCCTTCCTCCAATGCAGGAAACACCCTTGTATTCTATTAAGATATTCCTATCCATACAGATAGCCAAAAGTTGAACAAGGCAATTTGCATGATACTCTGAGCTAAATAAATTTGTATCATCATATTCATGCACAGGATTCTTGAAAGGAAGCTTGAGTTGATTATATTATTAAACATGTGATGATCTCAAATAATAAAAACTTAAACACCAGAGTCGTACAAGACTGAGGAGTGGCAAAGGCAAGCCTATGCTGTAGTATGTCCAATGGCATCGCTTTCTAATTGTAGGCCTTCTGGTATTCTAACTCTGTGGTATCTAGAGTTCTGCTAAATAACCTTTTTTAAACCTTTTCCAGTTCTAACAAGATTAATCCCACCAGCAATTTGGTCAACCTCCATATCAACATCAGTGCTATGGCTCAAGTACAGATCAGAGGGTAAGTATTTAACCATTTCAATTCGTAATGATAACTAATTTTTGTATTGAATCTTTCCACATATAATAATTACATGTAGCGAATCTTTTGACATACTATAATCCCAAATGCCTTATCCACAAAGAACACCTGAGAATTCCCAAGGAAGCTCACCCCTGCAAGCCTTGCAGGATGGCGCTTACCCGGTCATGTGGGGCAGAACTGCCCACATGGACTCCAATAAACTTACTGAGTGTCTGTGCAAATGCAGCGCACTGTAGAATCCCACATTGTAGTAACATCAGTCAGAGCCAACATTTTATTTGGGCGTTCAAATTGTGTATGGATGTTACTAGTACCAAATGCCTGTTCATATGTGTAGGTCTGCGTGTGCAACCACTTAGGCACTTAATTCTGAATACCAAAGCAGAATCTGCTGCTTTTATGGCTGGAATGATGAAACACATTATGGCAAGGCATATACTAACAGAGAGCAGAGTGAGGCCTTTGCAGAAAGGATGAATAATGAATGAACTATGACAAGAGATCAGCCAGCTACTACTGTAAGAGTCTTACATTTCCACCTGAAGCAGGTATCTGTCTACTGACACAAGGGATACCGAAACTAAACAAGCACAGGATATGATCAGAGATGATTATTTCTATCTCTTTTTTCACATACAGCTTGGTTTCGGAAACTATAAAATGCAATTAGGCGATAAGAGTCTCAGACAACCCAGTAAAAATCTTGGAACTAGACTTCTATCCTGGCATCCTGGAGGAAGCTGGCAACATGTTCTTATAAAGCAAGTAATTGCCCAAAATGCGTTTTGTCTGGAATGTCAGATTTCCTACATCTCTTCTCAAACTACAGCTCTGGATCTTAGCCATTCTCAGCTCTGCAAGAGGAGGACAGGAGGTACCTGGCCCAGCTTCACTCCCAGAGTCAGGCCATGAGGCCTGGCTGGTGCAAGAGGGGTAGATGACTCTGATATGATGCACCTCAAGGGCCTGCCTTAGGTATTAACAAATAAAACCACATTTATTTATGCTTTTATGGATTTATAAAAATCCATTTATTGTTATCACTTCTAGCACAATACTTTGACTACCTAATGCCAGCAGAGAGTCCAGCCATTTTGCATATCACAGAGATCATTTTTTCTGTTCTAATATTCAATCTAAATCAGGGAGATTTAAAAAATATTTTTCATCACAATTTGTATGTGCTTTCCAGGTTAAGAAGACTAACCCTAAAGCTAGAGTTAGGTGGAAAAAAGAGGATTGGCACTCAAAGACTGTGTGGATATATGTTAATTCTTACATTTCTGAAAAGTAGCAGCTGAAAGACAAGAAGTTTAACAAGAACAGAAATGAGAGTATTATTTCATTTTCTGTAGTTAGTGCTGATCTAGGGAAATGAGTTGGATAGGAAGGGAGGTAAGAATACAAAATGAGGGGGAAGGTAACACAAAATGAGAAGTAGAGGCTGAGGAAATAAGAATCAAAGGGGTTAGTTGGTGGGCTGCAGACATGTGAGAAAATGTGGGGAGACAGCAACTACTAGATGTGGCCATGGGTGGACACCCAGGTTAAGGACTGCCTGGAGTTTCAGTGCGTCAATGAAATGGTTATGGATACTTAGACAAGACTTCTCAGTGAGGGCTGCTTCCAGTGCTGTGGATTCTGGGTTTTTTTCAGTGAGGTTGCTTTTCACTTTCATAGAAAAATCTTACAACCTTTTTGTACTCTTTGGAAACTTTTTGCCTCCATCATGTTATTTCTGTGCCATAATATGTTCTTTTTAATGAAAAGTTTTGTAATAGGTGAATAGATATACACCAAAAAATGACCAAAATATCCTCAGTTCTTAAAAAGAGCATGGCCACAAGTGGAAAAAGTGGCTTGAATCGTTGCCTGCAGTGCTAAGAAACAGGTCATTAAATACAGATGAATTACTTAAATGATTTCCAGTTCCTTTCCTCTTGAGCCTTTTAGTTTTCCTGTTAGCTATAGCATGCATGTACAAAGGAAAGTTCCCAAATGCTTTGTTGACAGATTTTGCTAATTGCTCAGAGATGCTAAAGTATACAGCTCCAAGGGAACTATTTGCTCACAATTTCCTAGATAAAAATAAAAGAGACACTATCCACATTTGGACTGGAAAATGTCTTGCATCGGTTTCCCTACTGCTCTGCACAGAGTTAGATGAAGTGGGATTGGAATCTTTATTCATTTTACTGAGGAAAAGTAAGTAGTTACAAATTGTGCATATGCATACATGCATATATACTTACACAGTGGAACCATGCAAATACTGCCTCTGTGAGAAAGGAAGAAGTCCTCTTCAATCTCCTGTTAAAAAGAAATTTAAGATCATTTGTTAGATAGTCCATTCAATGAGTAGTTGCTCTGATAACTAAGATTTGATTATTCTGCTTACCTTTATTTTTCTATAAAAATGTAAGTTTTATAGTTTTAATTGTTATTTCCCACTGCTGAAAGAGCACTAGAGAAATGAGGGATTCAGGAAGGAAGTAATTTGGACTGGGAGGATTTGCAGCTGGCAGAATTCTTATTGTATATCCAACATAAGCATTTTCTGTAGAACATACTTTTATTTTTCAGTGCTCTTGTTTGACTGATCGTTATCACCTAAAAGTGTAGGAAAAGTCCTCGTCTAATAAATCCTTCAAATGTTAAAAATATTGGAAGTTAAATGCAAAGTAGAATAGTCAAAAGAGAGGATTTCTGTTTAATTTGACCTGATTTTGCTACTTTCATTTGAATAGCAGAAGTCCTCAAAGTAACTGTAAAATCTGTTAAAATAAATGTTCTTATATACTTAATAATCATTTTAATGGAAGGTCTGCATTTACACTTCACGTTTTGTAATTCTGTGGATAAGAAAAACACTGCACAGGGAATGTGACAGAAAATACGTTTTTTGAAACCTCATGCCTGCTTCTTTTTGTCTATGTATACTTTCACGTTTGCAAATTTTTGCAGTAGGTTAAGGGTCTCTGTGTCTTGGCTTTTGTAACAACACAGGAAAGTTCCTGTTCTCCAACAACAATTAGTAATTAAAATTCTTATTGGAAGCAAGGCCATTTGTGAAATACAACAAGTTAAGCTAAGTACGTCATCTGAAATGACTTTTTAATGAATAAGTTTCATTTTCTTTATTGTTTGGTTTGGCTTGTAAATTTGTTCTCTGGCATACTTGTTAGTACAAACTGCTGGCCTTTTGAAGTCTGCGGAAGTATTTAGAGTTAGCAGGATACTCCAGGACACCCTAAATTTCATGTGCTTTAGCTGGATGGTATTAAGTTGTTCTTCTCCAGGATCCCTTGCTGCTTTGAGAAGCTGTATTCTGTAGAAAAGTTTCTATCAGACATTTCGTTCATTGTATATGACATAAGAGCTGGAAGCAGGAAGAGTTTGTTTCTTCCTGAAGTATTTTAAAATGTCAGCATTTGCAACAAAAACATCCAGTCTTCTGTTCTCTGCTTCAAGGGGCAATCTGCAGTGGTGCTTTCTTTGTTTAGACTCGAGGGAAAGTGAGTTAACATCAGCGGATAGAAGTCCATCATTTGTGTCAAATGTTACATTCTGGGGGAAAAAAAAAAAAACAACAAAAACACCCACCTCATTAGCAATTCTTTTTCAACAGTTTTCTGTCAACAAACTTCCAGCTTTGACAGAACAAGCATTGAAATTTTATGGCTTTTCTTTAAGCTAAAGATTCTGGAAAACAGCAGAACTGAGTGAGAGTTGACCCCTGTAAAGAAAGGGTAATACTTACCATTTTAGCACCAACAGCTACTTCCAGTACTATCAGATGACAAATGTTTGTGCCAGAACTCACCTACCATGCTAAAAGAAATTCTTGGGATCTGATTTCCCAACTTTTCAACAACCGAATAAGGTTAAATTTGGCATTTGAATGGGACCCCTCCAAGGAACTTCCAGTTTTTACAGAAAATAAAATGCTTGTGATTCAAATAGAGACATTAACAGAAGACTACTTGGTCCTTTCTTGAGGTCAAACAGAGAAGGAAAGGAAGAATAAAATAGCAGACAGAAAGAAAGATGTCAATTATTAAGTCACTGTTTCCTTCATTTATGTTTGATTTACATGTTGCAAGTTGCAACAGTGTTTCAGGGAGTGCCTTAGCTGCCACTTTATTGGCAAAGCGAATGGGAAGCCTGGAGAACTATTTCAGGTTCCAGTCCTGAATTCAGTTTCTTGATACACCAATTTCCATTGTGACTTTATGGAAGTCATTTGCCCTATCTGTACCTCAGTTTCCCACCTGTAAAATGAGATAGACTGCTTTGCAAGGTTTTTTAAAGGAATAACAGCAGAGGTTATAAGGAATTTATAGTCAGAGCAGTTAAATAAATATCTAAAAATGAATTGCAGGGAAGGAAGATGCATAGCATTAAACATCTACAGACCTTAAATGGAAATGAGAAAATACATTTATTTATGTATCATTACTCTGGTTTTGTGGATAATGTATTCAAATGCCTCATCAGTGAGAATGATGTAAATTCCTGACAAAATGTATTCCTCTCTGCAAATAAAGAGTCACTCCCTTGTCTGGAAAGGACCATCCATCAGAGGAAGTATGAAATTAATGCACACCCTCAGTAGTCTGTAAGGACTTTATGGAAGCATTGTATTGTTCACCTCACCTAACTGTAATAAATGTACCCAAATAAAATGCCCTTAAGGGCTCGGGTTTCTATAGTGGTCTTATTTTTTTTCTAAAAGTAATGCAGCCAATCACTGGTAACAGTTACTGGTTTAACCTGGTTTATGTATTACAGAGTGTCTCACCCCCCAACAATTATTTTGCCACTTCACAACTGGGAACCCAAAGATGAACCTACAAAAGAAGAAGAACTTGGTCCTTTAGTAGAACACATCTATGAGGTAAAAATTATATATGTTGCCACAGAACATCATGCTGTTCCCATTGGAATCTTGATGAATGTGGTTTATCGACTTTATCTGCAACTAGATAAAGCCACAAATGTAAATATTCTGACTTTAGCACATTACTCAAATTTAATGTGGGAACTCACAATCCCAGTATCTGTTCACGTTAGTGGAGGAGATCTTAGGTTATGCTAGGACTCTTTGACATTGAAGTGATCTATAAATATTTTGGGTGTTTGACAAGAATTAATAACAGTGCTTAAAAGCTCGTTACAATCAATGCCAAATATTTTCAGTGATTTGACTGGTTTCTCATTAAAAGCTGTGCATGTTGTACACAGGAAAAAATATGTTTCCTTTAACATTTAGCTAATTAAAAAAAAATATAGATATACATGTAACTTGTTACCTCATTGCTCAGAAAATGTTCTGTTGACAATAGCTCTTTATGTTTGAAGTATGCATGTTTCTACCTTATATCATTGTTGGATTTTTTCTATTGATGATTCATCAATTAAAAAAGAAGAGTTCAGATTAGAAACAAGTGCATTGAGTGAACTCCATGGAATACAGGCCATCTTTGGAATATAATGGATGACTTTTGTTCCAGGGGGTAAAATGGAGTATTTCGCATATGGTTATAATTCATAAACTAACACTCCAGAAGATATAAGCAACTGAGCTTAATCATTAGTGTAAGATTACAATTTGCATGACTAACACTAAACTGTAATGAATCAGACTGTAATATACAAAATATTATTTGTGAATTCCTTTTCTTAACACATTTCTCTAAACTGAAAAATCTCTAACAAATCTTCCCATCTCAAGCATTTGGGCTCTTTGTGGAACTATATATGTGACTTCAAATGTATTAAAATAGTTACAGTGATTTAATAGTTACAGTGATTAAAGAAACCACTTCCATGGTTTATTGATATCAGCAAAGCATAAAAAAGCCGAAACACCAGCCTAAAAACCCTTTACTGAAGAAGATGTAAGATTGAAAGTGGATTTTATTTGGTTCTAAATAAAGCTCATCAGTCACAAACATTCTATGCATTTAAAAAAAGGAGGTTCTCACATCTCTAGAAAGTTTGAGTAAAGCTCCATGGTGTTCTGCTTCTTTAGCTCTCATGCCCAGTGTTAATACATATCCAAACTTCCTGTGGTCATCAGATATTTTCAAATTGTAAACTGATATAGGAAAACTATTTTAATAGCCCAGATATTGTAATTTCTATTCTTTCTATCTTTACTCATTTTCCCAGAAAATAATAATGTCCTGGGATATTACTTTAGGAAAACTAGTTCCTTTTTTTCTTTTGGGGAAATTTAAACTGAGAAGTGTTGAATTAGTTTAAGCTGTGCTATACCTTCTATTCCTGCACCCTAATATGTGATTCTTTTGTGTCCTGAAGTTTCAGCTACTATTTTCAGGTATATTCTGTTACGGTTCATTGTATATATTTATATAGTGTATTTTACTAGTGTGTTTTGGTTTGAGGTTTTTTTTTACTTTTTTAGGTAATTTCATCCCTTTCATATGTAGGAAAAAATGGGAAAGGTGATGGATTTCTTGAATACAGACTCAGACAGAAAGGGTTGTTCTCCCAGATTTGCGATTGGCTTTGTGACAGACATGGAGAGGTCTTTTTCCCCTACCTGCCACAGATTGTCCATCAATAAAATGATATTAATAACCCGTAGATCTTTCCTGAAGTATTTCAGGGCTGTGGACACTAAGAATTTGAAAATGTCTAAGTGGTGGTTGCTGTGTTTTTCATTGTTATTTACTGCCTTGGAAAGTACTGATCATATTTGTTTGACAGCTGCACAATATAGGACCAAGTGCCATCAACAATACAGTTCTCCATGTCGGTTGGCCTGTGTCCAGTCAAGAAGAATTTCTTCTTTATGTTCTTCATATTCAGACACATGGACCATTGCACTGTCAAACGAGCTCTCCTATTAATACAATGCAAATAAAGGTAAGTAAGTCAGCCCTTTTTATTTCCATCCCTGTCTGCATTTTGCTTGATTTTTTCTGTTTACATTTCACAATGGGATGGAGTGTTTGGGGAAATTTTCGCAATGACCCTGAGATCATTCTCCTGGGCAAGAAGAAAGCTATAGATAGATAGTCTATAATGTTTCTAGTGTGACAGTTGTATTGCCACTTGATAAAAGGATTCATACAGTCTACAATATTTTATGGCTTAATCAATATTAACTCATAAAAGTTACAACTTTGTCAGCGACATGACAGGTTTTTAATTTTTCTACTTGGAAATGATTCTGTAATTATTTTAATCATACCAGCAAAAAGGAAAAAATTCCCCTGCCAATTTTTTCCGAAGCGTTACTCCTAGGAACTGTTTGCCATCCAAATTGCTTCCCCTTCCATGGACATGTTTTTTCTTTCATCACAGAGCTGGAGATCTCAGGGTTTAGAGAAACACTAACAAGGGGAAGCCTAGTAGTGGCCCCCTCAATAAAGTGTTGATATGACAGTGTCTAAAAGCCTGTTTTAAGATCTGTGTTTGTGATGGAAGATCCCCTCAAAAGAGCTTGGTTTGCTCAAAGTCAGAAGATATAGCAAAACTGAGCTCTACATATTATCCCATCAAAATCAAGGTATCCAATTTATTAAGCATAACTGATTCCAGATACTTCTCAAGTAAACAACACTTCTCGAGTTTAACCAGTAGCCTGTTAAACATCTTGCAGGGAGAGCTGCGCTCCAAATGCTAAAAGTGCTATACATCTTTTGCATACCAGAAGGGGTTTGAGTTCAGTACAGTAGAGATATCTTTCTAGTGAAGGGGATTGCTCATGACCACAGGAGCTACAAGACAAGTCTTTAGCTTAAAGAGACAGAACTACAATATATACTGACAAGAATATAGAAAAACTGATGTATACCAAATACATTATGGCTAGATTTTTGTGTTTCACCCAGAAAGCCGTAGAGAGGTTAGGATTCCACCCTTTTATTTAGTTTCTCTGAAGAAGAAAAAGGAAATGAGGGATAGGGAACTGAAGATAGAACATGTTTCCATTTTGTACCCAAAACACAGCAAGTTTGGAAACAGACAATTTTTTATATTAATGTTTTTGACCCCATTTCCACCTATTTTTTCAAAAGCGGTGAGGAGCAAGAAGCTGAGCTGCTGCATTTCTGTTTGCAAGCCTAGCATCTCAAAGCCACTGGTCAGATCAGGTTGCAAGTACATGAAGAAGAGTTTGGCATCCCCCCTCCCTAGCCACTGTGTTCTGTTCTAAGTTTCAGTGAAGAAGCTGAGATGGGAGCATTACCCAGTTCTTAATGACATTTTCAGGCAATGTATTATTTATGATTTTTTTTTAAGTTTTTTGAGTCTGCTCTTCCTTTTCCTAATTGATAATGATTACATCTGTTAAAACAGCAAGACTAAGTTCTCGTGAGTCTTGTGTGAAATCTTCCTATAATAATGAAATAATGGTCCATCTGTCTTAGCAGAGTATGCTTAAGATGTACAATCATTATTGCAAGAATTTAAACATCCTTTCCTTATTTCAGGTTTTCAAAGCACTGAACAGCATGAATACACAAATCAGGTTTCAAATACGTAGTGCTTATCTATTGCTTCAGATGGGAAGAGGATACAGAGACAGTTTCCTTCGGGTTTTCTATAAACAGCAGGATGCCTGGCTCAAATTTCCAAATAAGGCTAAGGACACTATATACCTGGCTCCTCTTGGATTTCAGAACCTAGCTCTTTTTGGGTGCTTGGGCATTTCCCCTTTGAAATGACTTAGATTGTTCAGTTTCAGTTAAAGCAGTATATTCCTCCCCATTGTTGAATTTCTTGTCTTATAGAAAGGTTTCCTTTGTGCTTTGTTGTTTCTTCCACAGAGATAAATCAAACCTGTGCACACATGGGAAGACTCTTATTTAGAGTCTTTTCCTTTTCTGTAGCTTATCTTTCCCTGAAGGTGGTGAGGGACTGAAAGGATAATAAAGTTATGAATCTTGCAAAATGTCTAGGGAGGAGCAAAAGAACTGATCAAAGATAAGGAACAGATTCCCTTGCAGAAGAACTCAGTACACTAGGATGCTTCAATCTAGGAAGGAGGCGACTATGCACAAGTATGATCCACAAGATCAGAAGTGGCG